CATCTGTTTATAAGCTCATTTATAATATACTGTTCAGTCTGTTAGATTATGTTACATTTCAAATATATTGACCACAACAAGCACAGTATAAAAGCATTATATATGCCAGTGCAATTCAGTAAATATGCTATACTAAATGCTATACGATTTTCGCAAAACTGATATTCTAAAACACTCGGTAATTCAAAGATGTTAAATATGCTTTTCATTGCCTTTCAGACAATCAGTTTCAAAAGTCTTGGGACAGATGCCACAAAACCTATGAATTTCAACAAACTACAATCCCCCCGCCCCCTGTTCAATGTTGCGTCCCATTTCTCGTCAGGTTTGATGTGTTTTGGTTGGAGCAACATTGATTGGGGTGGGGGGAGGGGGGAGGGGAGCGGTATTGTGTGTAAAAAACTATAATGATCCACTTACAAGCTAAAACTACATGTGTCCCAACAACTTCTGAAAGTGATTGTCTGGGCCCCATATGCCATAACATCATTGTACATCTCAAAAGTACAGGGAATAGAATGCTCTGCGAACGAAGTATTTCAGCTCCATTTCGTTCACAGAACATCTAATGACATTGTAGAACAATTAAGTTTCATTAAAATTCTCAAAGTTAATAATTAACAGAATATGAATATAATTTGTTATGTCATATTGCATTCTTAATCACAAAGGTTTTATACGTTGTTTGCTTCTACAAATTTTGGCACATCACTAGTAGGTTATTTGAGAGGTTATAGTCCGTCAATAAAGATAGGTATCGCAAATGTTTTACGCTAGATATGTCACACATACTGTTAATTTATAGCATAGTAATATAACATCCGGTTACTTTCGCATGCGGTAACGGCTGAGTGAACTGCTAATTCGAGTACTCCGAAGGCAAAGAACGTTTGAGTTTTATCACCAATAGTGAATGTGACATTTCACATCTTTCTAGAACAGAATTTGCAGATATAATTGTCGACGCATGGGTACGAAGGAGCACTCAGTGGGTGGGAATTTCGGAGGCTAATGGAAAGGGTTGTATCATATAGTATATATAGTCACTTGCACATGGCTAAAAAATTGTCCGCAAGATCAAGTTGGCGAGCTATTGGAAAGCTCGAGAAGAGTAAATTCGGCATTTAATTGAACTCAGTCAGACAATCCCAAAAATTACTATTCAGCGTATTCGTACGTGGTAAAGAATGACCCGGACTTCGTGATTTCTCCAGGGCTTATAGACCTCCCTAATGCTGACGCGTTAGCAAGTACTAGCGCGCGCGACCCGCCGAAGCAAGAAAGTTGCACAGGCTTCCAAAAATATGTAACGAAAGGGACTGGCAGTATACGGCGTTGTACGCATTATACAACACAAAGTTAGTGTTATACGCTAATTAGGCTAATAAGCGTTTCCGGACCAGACGAATGCAATGAAACTAACATCGGTTGTCACTTCGATTGTCACTATAGAAATATGAAATAATGGGCAACTAGAAAATACATGCATGCAGAAACCCTCGCCTTCCCGACAAAACCATTGTATTTTCGAACATGAAGTTCTAAAGTAGTTGTCATGGTAACACGATAATTCTTTAAGAATATTCTTACAAATGAAAAATCGCCTAAAAAAATATCACTTTTAATTACAAAATTATTAAATTCCCCAACATATATATGTTAGGTATGTTATTATACGTAATATAAGCCTCAATATAACTTATATAAGGTAAAATTCAACCACAAACGCTTCGCAAAACGTTTTAAAGTGCTGTATAACTAAACTGCCTTTTAATTAAATGGCTTTATCGATAAACTTTGAGTTGCAATAAAATGATTTCAAATTCTCGCTTGCAAATAACTTTGCTTTCTTTTTTATTTAAAAAATTCAATATAATAAAAAAGTGAATCAATATTAAAGATACACTGAGCGAAATTATATTCTGTCTTGTTCAGTTGTTTCATATGCGCAAAGGCCGTCGGGTTTTAATTAAAGCCATTGTAAAATCAATATATATTTAAAACAAACTTACCTTCGTTAACGTCGGCTCCCTTCTTTTAGCCGATTCTTTCGAAGTTTCTTTCTGAGAGAGCTTTTGAAATTTACGAAATATTGCAAAAATGCGAGTAAAAATGAAATATTTTCGCACGAAATTTATCAATCATGAATCATCAAATCAAGAAATGTTTGCTATTTCGCTGTCGTCATGCAGTCGTTATATGCAAACTTTAAATTGGACCAATCAGTTTCCGCTATTCATGACAGTCCGCCATATTTTTGAGATCAGTGAGGATGACCACCCACCCAACACCGTTGGTGACCCACGCCCGCGATATTTGATGAACTTTAGACTCCGCTAATGCTTTCGTTTCCCCGGGTGTAAATAGCCGGGGGGGAATTAGTACCCTCGCACGGCGCTTCGCGCCGTCGGCTCGGGAATATAAACTTATTCTTACCTGAACATTATGCAAACATCCCTGATGTATTACTAGTGAAAATCCGGTTGAATCCCATAAAAAATAGTTCTATTTTGCACATAAACCATTGACAAACACCGACTTGAAAAAATATCGGAGGTGTGATGATCTATCCCTTGATGCTTTGCGCGCGTGGCAAGAAAACTAGACACCAGTCTGTCAGTCGCGCACATTGCGGTAATTATTCATTTAATCTTAGAAAATAAATTGTCCCAGTATTAAATTCTCTATTAATAAATGTCTATGAGTAAAATACGATATAGGAATAGTGTAGTTGTATAAGAAATTAAAATTTCTATAAGAATTCTTATAGGATATGATAATGGTGAAAAAATTCCTATAAGAAATAGAAATTCCTGTAGGAAGGAGTTATTTCGTAAATTATATTTATCTGTATAATTTTTTATATAAGTAAAGTTCTTATACCCATGCATGTATCAGGCCATAGTGGTATAGGCTATATAGGAATTTTCAATTCATATAGGAATTCCTATAGGAATTTTCAATTCCTATAGGAATTCCTATAGGAATTTTGATTTCTTATAGGAATTCCTATAGGAAATTTTCGTAAGGGAGGGCTCATCAGTAACAGGCATATATTGACACACGTAGGTGGGCCTCCTCTACTCAAATATTTCTGGTCTCGTGATTTTGTGCTTGTCTATATATATTAATCCTGCACTATATGATGGGCAAGTATAAAAATTTCACACCATATAAACATGTAAAAACAACCACAATATAAATTACAAGTATTAAAAACTGGCAGTCTGGCAATAAAACCACAAAGACTAGTGCTGACACAAAACAACATAATTTCATGCACACAGTATCTACTCATTAACAATATTTGTATGTCTGCTATTGAAATATTTGCTGTATATATTAGGATGATGAGTTTTTGACATATGAGTGTATGACAATATCTCTCAATATCTCTATCATCTCGAGTGATATGACAATGCAAGTCCTGAAGTCCCTAGAAAGTTAAAAAAAGTTTCGTGAATCTTACCTGAAAGAATTAGTCTTTTTTTGCAGTGAAGTGCTGCATCCACAAGCGAAGCACACCCGCATCCTTCCTCCGCGTTTGTAAAACAAGTAATGTGCGATGGAAATATTAAGATTTTTTAGCTCAAAAACAACAGAAAACTTGAAATATCTTTAATATTTCTGTGCAAAAACCAGGGGGGTTAAGGACATCGTCGGAAGCTTAGGATCGCGGTTGGTCAGTGGCAGTTACCATGAAAATTTCGGAAGTGTTGTCATGGCAATGGCGTAAGATCCGCCATGTTTTCGGCTTCACTTGTTGATGCCGAGCTGCCGAGCAGGTCCTCCAGTAATATAGTATAGCTCAGTGATGACCACCCATCGTTGGTGACCGACGCCCGCGCTCATTGATGAACTTTAGACTTCGCTAATGCTTTCGTTTCCCCGGGTGTAAATAGCCGGGGGGAATTAGGGAGCATTCATTTTTTAGCTGGGGGGCGGGCCGGAGGAACTGATGTCTAATTCCATGTGAAAACTTGGAACCCCCAAGACAAAAGTTGATAAAAAATTATGACCCCCTATATTTTTTACTGAAAATTTTTTGACCCCTCATCCTAACTATTAATCCACACGGTGTCGTTTCCATAGCGTTTCAGGGCTGTAGGAAACTCTTTTTGATTGGGGGGCTGAAAGCGAGGGCCGAAGGCCAGAGAAAATTTTTAAATCTAGAGTCTCTGAAATGCCATTTCCTGGCCTTTGGGGAAGATTTCACAGAATTCTGATGGTCAGAAAACAGCGTTTTAGTATGTCGAAATTGACAATTTGGTAGTACTAAATGGGCGAAGGCATATTTAATTTACTATATATTGGATAACTAGGATAAGTTGCAGGAAACTGTGGGTACTATCTTCATTCTTTGCAGTTTGTCATGGATAATGTAGCCGCTTAAAATAAATAAAGCTTAAAATTGATAAAGGCTGCATGATTTTGAAGTCATGCGCTCTTTGAAATCATGCATGAGTTTGAAATCATGCTACGGTCCTGCGTTTTCTTTCATTCATGTTTTCACACAAAAACGGATAAAAACAAGGTCAATTGACGAACGTCATGGAAATGTTTTCCTATGGACTGTGTGAACAGAGCATCAAATGAATTTTGCTTTATTGTTATAGATGACGAGATAGATTCTGGACCTTTTTACCATTCTTGATCCAAATATTTCCAAATTCTATAAAATTATATTGGTGATATTTTCACTGATTATTTTTATGACCCCCTCCATTTATACCAAAACTATAAAAAGACCCACCCCTTTGAAGCATGTCAAAATTGGCTGACCCACCCCCAAATTCCTCCGGCCCACCCCCCCAGCTAAAAAATGAATGCTCCCTAATAAGAAGCACAATTCACAATCTTTCGACATCGACGGTGAAGTTAAATCCTGTAACCCTTCGACAATCGCAAATGCGTTCGGTGAGTTTTTTGCAGGAACTGTCAAAACGTTAAAGGAAAAGGCTTTTCCTTTATGCGATTTTGCCTGGAGAACGCCCGCGAGTATGTCAGTTAGAACCGACCTGAAATTCAAATTCCAACCGGTCTCGAAATTCGAAGTTGAACGAAAGCTAAAATCAATTAAACGCAGCAAAGCAACGGGTCTCGATGATTTACCTCCAGGGTTACTGAAAGACTCTGCTGAGTTGATAGCTGCTCCCTTGACGCACTTGGTTAACCTCTCACTAGCAACAAACATTTTCCCAGCTGATTGGAAAAATGCCAAGATCATACCAATATATAAGTCTGGAGCACATTCAAACCTAGATAACTATCGACCAATATCGATACTACCGGTCCTGTCTAAAATCATTGAAAAGATAGTCCACCGTCAACTAATGTCATTTTTGGACAAAAATTCTCTCTTGTCTGAGTTTCAGTTTGGCTTCCGCCGTGGCCTTTCGACTGAGCTTGCAACAACCTTATTATTGGATGATATACGTAGAGAAGTTGATTCGGGGAAACTAGTTGGTGCCGTATTTATTGACTTGAGTAAGGCTTTTGACACAATCAGCCACGCAAAGTTACTAGATAAACTTTCTCGATATGGAATAAATGACGGTGAGCTTGAATGGTTTAAAGACTACCTTTTCTCCCGTAAAGCGGTAGTAAGCTACAATAACTGCTTATCTGAGGTACACGAAATCTATTCTGGTGTTCCGCAGGGATCGATATTGGGACCATTGCTGTTCTTGGTTTTCTTCAATGATATAACAGATGTGGTAAACCATTCCAAAGTCATTAACTATGCTGACGACACTGTTTTGTACGTTGCAGACAAGCAGACCCAATCAATTCAAGCAAAATTAGATAAAGACATGGATTCGATTGCTGGCTGGTTGAAAGAAAACGAACTGATAATCAACCTAAAGAAGGGCAAAACGGAATCCCTTCTATTTGGAACTGCCAAACGAAGAAGCATGCAAACTGAGCCACTCGAGGTCTCCGTACCATGCTCCACGCGGACTACAATAACGAATACATCTGATTATAAATATCTTGGCGTGCATGTGGACGGATCACTGAGTTTGAGTTCTCAGTTTGAAAAAAGTCTCAAGAAAGCATCAGGGCGGTTGAGGCTCTTGTTTAAGATAAGAGATCTTCTCGATTTACCTTCGGCCAAAGCCATTTATCGCACGATGATCATGCCCATACTTACGTATTGTGGCGTACTGCAATTAAACCTAGGTCGAACGCAGCTGGCCAGACTTCTATCATTCCACGACCGTTCTGTGTCCACTGTGTTCAAAGGGGAACAGGCGGGTGAACAACATCTTATATCTGCTGTAAATTCCAACAAATTAAGAGCATGCAAACTGGTGCGCAAATGCATTGATAATGACATTTGTGATATTTTTAAAACTTACTTCACAATGCAGCAACATGGCAGAGAAACAAGAAACAATAACAATATGATAAAGCTACCAGCGATTAAAACTGAGTATGCTCGTAAATCTTTCTATTTTATGGGAGCTAAGAGTTATAACGACCTACCTATAGAATTAAGAAAGATTGAGAACAATCCGGATTTTGAGAATAAGGTTACGGAACATTTTAATGAATTATAAACGGTTTTAAATATGGTATATAAGAATTAGTTCTTAATGTACATATAGTTTTTAGAGTTTTTTTAGAGTTTTTAATAGTTAGTTCTTTTTAGACTTTTTAGGATAACAGGACACACATTGATAACAGCTTTTTTAGTTGAAGTGTATTATCCTGTATAAATATTCGTATTAAACTTAATATCTTTATGGGTGGCATTGGCGGTAGGTTTCGGTGACAACCTTTTTTAGAACGCAGGGATAGTAAGCAGTGAAAATGAAACTCTCTATAACGATTTAAAGTTAAATATTTGAAAAATTATTTTCACATCGCTTAGATTTTTCACGTTGTTTATAAAATAGTACCCAAAAATGGCGGATTTAGACCTTCGTGAGAAAGGCTAATTGCGATGTCCCGATCACCAGAACAACACCATCTCGATATCTCATTTAGATCTTTATTCAAATCAGTTGCTAACAGTGGTGCCTAAATGACTTTGAACTTGTACTCGAGTAAAAGTAGAAGTAACTAACAATAAAACGACTTGAGTAAGAGTAAAAAGTACTGGAAGCAAAACGTACTTAAGTAAAAAGTACAAAGTATCCTTAAAAATACTTGAAGTACAAAGTAAAAGAAAAAGTACCATTGTCTGCAGCCTGTAGAGGGGGAGGGAACTTCTCCAATGGATTGACATACAAAAGACACAAAACAGCACACGCATTATATGCGTGCATGCACCAAATATACAATATTTCACGGCATGGTCTGCTTTCCAGACTCCGTTGAAGATATAAGAAATCCATTAAATAAATAATGCTTATAAGTAAGCCACAAACGAGAGATCCCAGACGCATGTAGAGGACCTATTACCTTTCCCGAAATTAAAATAAACCAGAAATAAATCAAGTAAAATTAAACAAAAGTTAGAAAGTAACGTACGTAATACTTCGCCACAAAATGAAAATAACGAAGTAAAACGTTACTTCTTAAAATGACTTCGTTCCAAGTAAAAGTACTCCAAAAAAGTTTACTTTGTTACATGCTCACTTCTCAAAAATAGTACTCAAGTACAGTAACGAAGTACATTTACTTCGTTACTTGACACCACTGGTTGCTAAGATCAGGAATGGCGATGAAAGTCTTTCTATATCATCAACATAACCCATAGATTTGCAATTGTCATGCATGTGTACAAAAGTAACGATATATTTTGGAAGTCAACAACGAGCCATGTAATGGCATAAAAAATCAAGGACTATACAATTTCTTCACAATATATATATTATTATGGTTGATAGTTGATGATCACGGTTGTATGTATATTACACAGTGGGCTTGCCTGAGTATATACGCCTGAGCTGGCATCTTGATAATCATTATTATAATATAGCATTTGTAAATTCTGAACGCTGATTGGCTAAGAGCCGTGTTGATATAACTCAATGTCAACACGGGAAATTTTCCGCCGCTTGTAAACACGGAAATTTTTCTTATCCTTCGGGCTTTTGACATTGCTATATTATAAAAAAAATATAAAACATTTTTTCCGTATTGATATATAGTTATATCAACACTCGTGGAAGTTGGGAAAACTCGAAATTGTTTCCATACAATTTCTCGTTTTCCCAATTCCACTCGTGTTGATATTTAACAATTATTGAATGAGGTTGAGCACGATATGAAGAATTATCAAGCCCGAAGTTTGCCGTTATCAACCGAAGCCGAAGGCTGAGGTTGATAACGGCAAACTGAGGGCTTGATAATTCTTCATATTGTGCGAAAACCGAATTCAATAATTGTTTTATTATTTTTTAAAAAATTCAAAACAAACATTTGTGTTTTATTTGTATTAAGAAAAAAACAATTCCTTAGTCCTTCGGCAGTCGTCATTGCGTCATATCAATGGCGTCAGCGAGTCAATATGATTCTTGTCGTCATAGTAATATGGCGCAAACGCGTCCAAATTTTTTTCATATTGACTCTTTGACGTCATTTTGCTAACATGAATGTGAAAAATCCAGATTTGGTTAGCCATTGAGTTGATATGACAAATTCACAGTTGGCTGTTAGCCAATCAGAAACCAGGATTTTTTTAAATAAATAATAAAACTGTATATCAACACGGAAAATGTTTTATATTTGTTAAATAATGAATTATTGTAATACAATATCCTTATTGTAAATATTTATCAGATGTACAAAAGTAACGATATATGTTTGCCTTCCTTCATCATTTTTTGTTTTTATATAATCTACATCAAACAGATGTTGTTGATCTTAACTCCAGCCAAAGAATTTCAACACAGAATCTCAATGGAATGTAAATTGGATGTTTTAAATTGAATCTATCATTTAATGAAATACGCTAAGTTTTCAACATTTCGACATAAATTATATGTACAAACCCTGGCTATAAACCGTACGTGGCTATATAAGATATTCCAAAAACAGGCGTATACTTTATAACCACAAACCATGACTATATAGGGTATGCTGAAAACAGGTGCACTTTATTTTCTTTATAACAACAAACCGTGGCTGCATGTAAAAATATGCCGAAAACAAGCGTTTTTTATAGCCACAAACCCTGGCAAAAAGATATGCCGAAAACAGGCGTTTTTTATAGCTACAAACCGTGACTGCAAGGTATGTCGAAAACAGGCGCACTTTATAGCCACAAACCATGGCTATAAGATATGTCGAAAACAGGCGTACTTTATACCATGTTTCAAATACTGCCATATTTCAAATACTGCTGTGAAGTATGGGATGTATTTGGTGAAACACAATCAAAAAGATTGCAAAAACTTCAGAATAGAGCTGCTAGAATCATCACAAATCTTGGCAATGATGTTGATCATTCTATTGCCTTAGGTGAGCTAAGCTGGGAACCTCTCAAGGCTGATAGGAAAAAAACAAAGGCGAAAATGATGTATAAACTTTTAAATAATATGGGTCCAAATTCACTTACTAATCTGTTTTCGTATAAAAGTGAATTAACAAACTACAACCTCCGGGATATTTCAAGTGGCCTTCACTTACCAAAACCACGTACAAATAATATGAAAAAAGTTTTATGTACGATGGTGCATTCCTTTGGAATTCAATTCCAAGAGAAATTAGGGGAAGTACATCCCTTAATTTGTTTAAAAAGAAAATTGCTACCTGCATTGACATTTAAAAAGCGCAATAAAGTACGTGCATGTATATAGAGGATTTCCTGTAAATAGCCTAACTACCTTCTTAATTTAGCTCATTGTAAATAAGTAGATTGTGTTCTTGTTACACGTACTTTTATATAGTTATGTAAAGATATTTTGCACACGTCCCCCGTAGAAATCAGCTTGGGTTGACGGGGTCAACGTGTTTAAATAAAGTTTTTCTATCTATCTATCTATCTATCTATAGCCACAAACCATGGCTATAAGGTATATGCCGAAAACAGGCGTACTTTATAGCTACAAACCGTGGCTGCAAGGCCAGTATGTCGAAAACAAGCGTATACTTTGTAGCCACCAACCATGCATGGCTATAAGGTATGCCGAAATCATGGGTATACTTTATAGTCACAAACCCTGGCTATACGATATGTCGAAAACAGGCGTATTTTATAGTCACAAACCCTGGCTATAAGGCCAGGTATGCCGAAAACAGGGGTACTTAATTATAGCCACAAAAAAGTTATATGCCAAAAACATGCAGACGTACCTTATAGTCACAAACCCTGGCTATAAGATATGCCAAAAACATGCAGGCGTACTTTATATAGCTACAAACCCTGGCTATGAAATGTGCCGAAAACAGGCATACTTTATAACCACAAACCGTAGCTACAAGGTTTGCCAAAATAGGCGTACTACTTTATAGTCATATTATAAACCGTGGCTTAATAGCCACGTATATGGTTTGCCGAAAGATGCGAATCCCGCTGCCGCCGGAGACAACAAATTTTTCGTTGTAATCTGCATAAATAAATATGAAATAGTTTAATTTTCATAATGTGAGACCGCAAATTAGATTTATAAGTTTCATGCAGAAACATGTTTACATATATATATTTTAAAAATTCGTCGTAAATTTCAAGTTTGTTACATCCTTTAACTAATACGAAATTTCAAGAAATTCTAGCTCAAATGAATTAATAAAAATATAGATAAAAACCCAACCGTTTGTGCCAGTGTAGCCTGCATGTATAGCCCGGATCAGGTTAAAACGTATAGTTGAAACACTCGTGCATCAAGCCTTTATTTTGTTAATCTAGACTAGAGCTTGAAATGTCCCCGACAACTTAAAACTCACCTTGAAAACGTTGAAACACTGAAATCGAACTTGCTTTGTCGCAGACGAAAGCTCTCGCTATTGTATACTCTCATCCACGCTTCACGAACGCTGTTGCACTTTCGACAAACACCCGAACAACTGTAAGAGAAGGCGATATTTGTTCATATTTAAAGACCGGTCTAGCTGTCACAACGGGATACGAGATTGCAGCTGCAAAGTACTAAAAACACCGATTCTTCGATAGAAATTTTTCGAAAACAACTTGAACAAAACAAACAGTTTGAAATTTTAAATATTCATGAAATGACACGAATGTTTATCATGTTAAGTATTTGGTAAACGTTCATGGTTTGTATATGATGACTAAACAATGACTTCACGCGCTATGTTTATACAGTTATCTCTTAATCCCTAAATTGTCAAACGAGAACAAGAGTTGCATGAGAGTTGAGAAGCGAGAGTTTGCATCATGCATGCCGATGAGAGTTTTCTCAACTTTCAAGCCACGATCAAACGAGAACAAGCTGAGTTGCATGAGAGTTAATGAGTTGATAAGTCAGTCAAAGTTGAGAAGCGAGAGTTTGCATGAGAGTTTGAGTTGAGAAGCGAGAGTTTGCATGAGAGTTTGCTCAACTCAGTGAATCACATCGTTACTATTAACGTTAACGATGTGAATGTTTATAACAATCACATCGTTAACTCCTCAGTCAAACGAGAACAAGAGTTGTATGGGAGTTGATGAGAGTTAAGAAGCGAGAGTTTGTATGAGAGTTTCCTTAACTCAGTCAAAGTTGAGAAGCGAGAGTTTGCATGAGAGTTTGCTCAACTCAGTGAATCACATCGTTACTATTAACGTTAACGATGTGAATGTTTATAACAATCACATCGTTAACTTTCTTGACATTACATTGAATCTGCAAGAAGAAACATTCTCCCCATACCGAAAACCGAACAACGATCCCCTCTATGTAGACAGTCGTTCAAATCGTCCACCTTCTGTCATAAAGCACATCCCGGAAGCAATTAACAAACGAATCTCCACCTTATCGTCCGACCAAACTTCATTCAACTTATCCGCGCCTTTCTACCAGAACGCACTACGCCAGTAGTAATTACAATACAACAATACTCGGCTGATGAAAACTGTGACGATACACCATCATCAAAGACGAGGAGGCGGAAAAGAAAAATTATATGGTTCAACCCCCCGTTCAGCAAGAATGTTAAAACGAACATTGCTCGTAACTTCCTTCAACTAATTGACAAGCATTTCCCCAGAACATCCCGCCTCTACAAGATCTTCAATAGAAACAGCGTACTGAAAGTGAGCTACTCGTGCATGAGCAACATCAAGAACGTTATTTCCAACCGCAATCAACACCTGCTTCGAAAAAAGAACGAGCCAGAAAAGAAAGAAACGTGTAACTGTCATGTTAAAGACAAATGTCCGCTTGACAGTAAATGTTTATCAACAAGTATCGTATAGCATACAAGAAGAGGCATGCCAATCATAAAATGTTTTTTTAAATATATAGCTTCTTTGGGTACTTCTAATGTAAAATAATGAAAAAAATTTCTCGAACTCAAATTTTGTGAACCAGGGGGGGTGTCTTTTCCAACAAACTAAAAATGGCTCGCGCACAAAATTTAAAAGCTGTAATAATATTTTGAGTTGATACATTGAAAATTTGTCGGATTTTTAATTACTGTACAAAATTTCAGACAATTTGGTTCAGTTTAAGTCCTTTAACTATTCATTTTGTTCTAAAAAGTCAGCCTTTCGCATGCTTAATTAATGTATTTACCTATTTTGCATATTGCTGACATATGCAAATTAGGCAAATGTATTAATTAAGCATGCAAATAGCTGATTTTTCGGGAAAATTGTAACTTTGAGTGAATAGTTAACGGGCTTAAACTAAACCAAATAGTCTGAAATTTTGTACAGTAATGAAAATCCCGACAAATTTGCCATCTGTCAACTCAAAATATGATTGCAGATTTAAATTTTGTGCGCAAGCCATTTTTAGTTTGTTGGAACCCCCTGGTTCAAAAAATTTGAGTTCGAGAAATTTTTTTCATTATTTTACATTATAAGTACCCAAAGAAGCTATATATATAAAAAACAGATACAAATAGCTGTTTTGCGAAATTGAGAGCAATTTTAAATCTGTTCAGGTTTTTTTTTGATACACCCTGTATATATATATAAATATATATATATATATATATATATATGTTTTGCGAAATTGAGAGCAATTTTAAATCTGTTCAGGTTTTTTTTTGATACACCCTGGATATATATATAAATATATATATATATATATATATATATATATATATATATATATATATATATATATATATATATATATATATATATATATATATTATATATATATATATATATATACAGTATATGAAATGTATTGATATATATATTAGTGGATTTTTGCATTGAATTTCACAGACTTTTCGTGAAAGTGTACACTTTTGGAGTGATTTTCCCCTCGAAAACGCCATACTAACTTCCGGAAGACTTAAGAAAAAAATAAATTAAACAGCGCCACGAAATATAACACGTGCAGTGCGATTTGAAAAATATATTTTTCTCACATAATAGACATGCATAATTTATGTGACTCTTAAAATTTAAATTTGCCAAACACATTTTCATTATCATTATCGCTTTTGCTTATCAGCAATTGATCAACATGTTTACTCTTCAAATTCAAACACAAAAAGACGCTAGGAAATTGAATTTTAAGTCCCTTGATATCTTAATTTTCATTCATGAATTTAAAAAAATAACATGAAATGTGCACTCGGCTAATCAGTATGCGTGTAATGATCTATATCAGTTCTACATTCAACACTATTACAGTTGTCAAATTTTATACTGTACGTGTTTGATGTTTATTTTGTATAGTCCATGCATATTCCATAAACTGAACAGAATTAAAGAATGATAATTATATCAAGCTAGACATCAACAAATAAATCAAACAATGGTATAATGTATAACACTGTCTGTCGTCTTTATTTAATAAAGAGACGAAAGGCAAAGCTCTCTCGTTGAAAAACTAAACTGCATTATTTGATCTCAGAATTTCATGAACACTCTTTTACATGCATAAACGGTACTTTTCAAGCAAGCCCACAACTCCACAAGCTAGTTATATAGTTGCAGTTTAAGTATAACCTTAAACATATATATCCGGTTGAAATTACAACAATGTTTAGTACAGTGATAGAGTATGTCAACATTGTGATCTAAATGAGATCGAAGACGGACGACATTTTTTAATGTCCTGCAGCAATTCAAAACTCAGCAATGGCTTATAGAGTTGATTTTATAAATAATCTTTGTAAAAAAATCTTCGTTCTCTTCATTTAATCATCAAGATATTTTTACTGATATAATGGCTATGCAAGGCAAAGAATTATGACTCTGCATGATTGCAAAATATAGTTCTGATAATTTGTGAAACTCATTTAATAAAGTAGTCTATCACTACTGTATGTATACCGAAACTGGTATTTATGTTGATTAAATATTATATTAGAATACAATACTTGCAAGCGAAGGCTATCAACTGACATTTGCAATTTCCTTTCTAGCAGAATTCCCTGTCAGACTACAATCACAAAATAAGGATCCATTCTGTGCTACTATATTGACGTTTTTAATTTAAATTGGGTAAACATGAAGATTTGAAGGCGGAACAGTTGTCTCTGAATGTTTTTTCAAAACATGTTTTTCAATTAAACTGGTTACGATCAAGCAAGTTCTCCATGCATATGATAAATTTTCATGTGTTCTTACAACAAATTTTCTATGACTGTGATAAGTTTTTGGAAATGGGAACTGTAATACAAAAGAAAAAGCTACGACACGTTGCGCGATATACGGTTGAAGTAGAAAGCAGGCCGTTAATATGCTAACCGAAAGCTGTGGATTGATAATTGATGTATACTAACCGAACGCATATGAAAAACAACTATAAGCTACTATTTTCAAAATTCATACCTCGTGTAAATCTTGCGTGTCCCTCTTTGTCTTGTATCTTGCGAGTGATCTGAGGCTACAAGTACGATATTTAAACGTTCCTCAGCCCACCACACGTTCAGATAAGGCAGTTGTGATGAATGACGTGCGAAATCTATAGATAGGAGAAATTGATTAATACAATGTGAGGGGGAGTGTACACGGAAAAGACACCATCATAGCAAGGCTAATTTCACCAAGACGCTCACATCAATTAAATATACTACTATAATATACTACTGTAATATACTACTGTAATATACTACTATGATATACTACCATAATAGCCTACCATAATAGCCTACTATAATAGCCATGCGATCACAAAGTCGAGGGGTAAATTACTCTGAAAAAAACGTACGAAGATTCTTGGGATTAAAAAATCCCTGCAATTTTTCTTGGGATTCTGGGATTTTTGTTGCCAAATTTTCAGGAATTTTGAGATTTTCCATGATTTTTTTCGAAATACTTTCCCGGGGTTTTTTTTATCGCGGAACCTTTTCCTATATAACGCTTTCATAAAAACAGAACTTTATATAAGCGATCATAACTTAAAAATAAGCGAATAAATATGCAAAACGTACAGCCAAACACGTGTTTGTCGTCACTTTTCTCCCGATCTTCATGCCGATAATATTTTTTACATGAAGTGTTGGATATGAACATGATCATGAAGATCCCGACAGTATGGAATGGATATATAATATATAAGGGTTTAAATAGGATATTTCCGTGGGAGATTTTTCAAAAGTTGCTGGGATTTATGGATTTTGCAATTGTCTTGACGTTCTTATTGGTTTTTTCCGAGTATTCTCTGAAATATTTGGGCAAAACTTGACGTGTAATCAATCGGCCTATAGCCGTATAATCCTCGATTAGTGGCGACTGAAAAAAAGCTCTTCATATAATAAAGTAATTCTAAAGCCTTAAAATATCAGAGCGATCAAGCGTTTCGTTCTCGTTTTGCATCTATAATTTACCAAGGTATCAAACAACTGTTTTTTATGTTATCTATATATATACAAAGAAAATGCTTCATGACGCATTGATTTATAGAGACTTGTATCAAATTCGGTCACCAGATCTTATTCACATGCTAGTAGCCACTAATTTTTTTCATTCAAATTTCAACCGCAGTGATGACTGCGTGATAAGATATGTGTTTTACTTTTTCATTATAATATATATATTAAAATTGTAGATCCTAATGTGTGATAACCCTACAGCAAAAAAACAAATGGACGTCATTTCAACATGAACATCGCAGAGCAGACTGAAGCCGATTTTCCACTTGCGAACTTTTTTCGCGCGAAGAGAATTTTTCTTTTGTCTTTATCCAATTAGTTCCAGATGGTTCCAATTGAGAGACCAAAGACAAATAAAAAATTCGCATCGCGCCAAAAAATTCGCAAGTGGAAAACCGGCATAAGGAAAGATATAGTTGAATGTGAATAATGGACAATGATAGGAAAATGTAAATAATACAGAATTATATGAAAAGCTTTCTTTATAGACAAACCCTTTCGACTCATGTTGACATGAAATAGGGAATGAAAGTTTTATAATTCTCTCGTACAGTGTGTGAACTGTATATGAGAGAAATTAAAACACTTTTTTTCGACATGTCGAATTTCTCTATAGTAGTTTAGACACAAACTATACGGCAGCTTATTGCATGCAGAATACTACCCACACTGGACCACCACATTTGAGACATCTTTTTTAGGTAGTTCAGACACAAACTACGCCAGCTTATTGCAGAATTGAATACTGCCTACACTGGACCACCACGTTTCAGATATCATTTTCAGTATAGTTCAGACCAGGGCTTCCCAGAGGGGGGGGGGGGCAAATGAGGACAATTTGCCCCGGGCCCCAATTAAGTTAAAGGAGGCCCCAAAAAGGTGTAAAGGCCCTGGTGAGGCCCTGGTTCAGACACAAACCACGACAGCTTATTGTGTAATACTACCTACACTGAACCACCACATTTGAGATATGTTTTCAGATTAGTTCAGACCTGGTTCAGACACAAACCACGACAGCTTATTGTGTAATACTACCTACACTGAACCACCACATTTGAGATATGTTTTCAGATTAGTTCAGACTTCAGACACAAACCACAACAGCTTATTGTGGAATACTACCTACACTGGACCACCACGTACACAAACCACGAGGGCTTATAAAATACTATAATGTAGAATACTTATTGTAGAATACTACACCACACTGGACCAACACGTTTAAAATTTTGAAACAGTAAAAAACTAACCATCAATCTCTTAAAGATGATGTCCACTCCGTTCTGCGCTGATATCAGTTCTGCTCATAACAAAGGGGGACCCCCAGATATAAACATTGCCCAAATTTTACATCTTTCGAACTTTTTGAATTGAAACGTACAGTTTATATTCATTTACAAGTATAGCGAACCAGAAAAGTGTTAGATATTCAGTTAGTATATCATATTTTACAAATATGGCAGTTCAAAACGTAAACAAGGTTCGCGCATGTGCACAGGAGTGGACATCATCTTTAAAGTTTAGCAAGTACAGAAGTGTTGTTCCCGCTGACGGTGTCTGAGATTTCAAATTTCGTGAATAGAGTGCATATGTTCAACAGTCCTACTTTGGCTACAACCCAATCCTTGCTTACATGCATTATTTGCGCTTCAGTTAAATGTTTTTAAAATGTAAATCTTACAGCTGTCTTCTGCTGGGAAATTGATTAATTTCTATACATAGATGTTTTATCGTGGACAGCAGTAAACAGGGTTTACACCTGCAGGAATAATTAATATTTTGATCATGTTGATTATATAACTGATGACTGTGATGTATAAACACAGAAACGATATAGATGCTTGTCAATGAATCGATGCAATACATTTGTCAATTTCTATAGGCAATTCAAATAACTTTGTGAATATCAATCGTTGTCAATTAGCCATTTCCCAAAGTCCTGGGTCTAGTCGTGCAAATCCCATGTTGGAGGGACAAGAAATATGGCAGTACACATTTAAATTAAATGTTTAATGTACAAAGAAGATATTTCATTTTTGGTCGTCTGAAAAGTTGATTTTGAAGTAGATACTTCTACTCTTTCACATATTTGACGCCTGTCACCATATATTTTGTCCCTCCAAACGATCCCAGAATGCACTGTGATCTCTTTTGGGAAAAGGGTACTGAATTATTGCTGGACCCAGTGGTATATATATATATATACACAGCTAATTCAATAAAGGTTGTCCTTTGCAAACCTTAAACCCTTAAACCTTAAACTCTAAGCGCGCAAAGCATGATGGGAGCACTGATATCAAGCTTAATTGTTGATTATTGAAGCTGTTTGTCAGTGAAATGTTCTTGCAGGAAGATTTTTATCATGTCTCCAAAAAATGGGCTCCATATATGCTTTCTTCTATATATATATATATATATATATATATATATATATATATATATATATATATATATATATATATATATATATATATATATATATATATATATGTTATATATATATATATATATATATATAT